CCACGCCATCACGCTGCAACCGTCTTCCTTCCGAAATCTGCGGCTCCCCAAGAGGCTGCGTGTCGTCTACTTCCTGGCCCGCACTCGCCTGGCACAGCGACTCATCATGGTACCTGCCACCCCTGCCCTGCCTTGCCCTCTTCTGGAGGGCCACTGCTCAAGGACCCTCATGGTGCTGCACTTGGCCTTGGGGGGGTGTTCCTCAGGCACTGGTAGCCCCTGGAAGCCTGGCTTTGGGACGCTGCCCATCATGCCCTCCCTGCCCAGCACCTGGCGGTTTCTGAGGAGACAGGCTTCTTTGTGGGAGGAGCAGTTACAGGTGATCGGGTAGAAGCATTTTTATCCCCTCAGAATGACCCAGAACAGGAGCCTGTACTCATTGGCTGCTACAAGTGTGTGGGTATCAGGAAATGCTGGGCAAAGTGGCAGCAGTGCCTCTCCTGGGGACTTGAACTGAGAGAGAAATGAGACTGAAGCCCTCTGGGGACTAAGGCCTCTGGGGATTTCTGGAGCCCGTCAGGCAGCTGGCCTCTGGCCATGCTGAGCATGGGAATGGTAGCAGCTGTCTGTCCCCAGTTGAGGTGGAGATTGGGTTGGAGACATTCTTGTGTCAAACCTAAGGGTGCTCCAGTGCATTTCCAGGCCAGGAGCCTCAACCCCCGACTGTGGAACGGGAATCGGACCCTTCCAGTAGCAAGTGTTGGCAGGTGGCAGTGGGAAGACCTGGGAGCCAGAGGGAGAAGGCAGTTTGGGGCCTGTGTCCTCTCTTCACCCTCAGGCCTGAGGTCCTGTGCTGCCTCCTCCCCACATGAGGCCAGGGCTGTTGGGGGTGGGGCTGCCTGCTCCTCCTAGGGCCCACTCAGTGCCTGATGCCCCCCTGCAGGCTGGCACCGTTGTCTGGATTGGCATCCTGGTGTATACTGACCCAGCAGGGCTGCGCACCTACCTTGCTGCTCAGGTGACGGAGCAGAGCCCACTGGGCGAGGGCTCCCTAGCCCCCGTGCCTGTGCCTAGTGTGCTGCCCGCCAGCCCCCCGGACCCTGCCTTCATCTTCCCGCCTGGCGTCCCCAAGCTGCCTGAGAACCAGACATCACCTGGTGAGCCACTTGGGCGTGGGGGTCCAGCGGAGGGTGTCCATGACAGCCCAGTCCCAGAGGTAACCTGGGGGCCCGAGGATGAGGAACTTTGGAGGAGGCTGTCCTTCCGCCACTGGCCGACGCTCTTCAGCTACTACAACATCACGCTGGCCAAGAGGTGAGTTGGGCCTGCTAGCTGCCAGCTCCTCACTTGGTGGTGGCGGCTGCCCATATGGCCTCTTCTCTGGGGGGCAGGTGGGAAAGACTGATCTGAACTCTGCATTTTATTTCCAATAATGGAAACCGTTCAGAAGGTTGTACGATGGGAACTGGGGCTCTGAGGCGTCCCGGTTGCTGCCAGCCCCGTGGCAGAGCGAAGCCGCCCAGCCTGTGCTGGGAGAGGTGAAGGGTGGCCCGTACAGGCGTGGCGGTGTTCGGGCGTTGGTGTCTGTGACAGGGCAAGGCTGGGGTGCAGAGCCGGGCTGCGGAGGGACCCGCCCCTGTCCCCTGTCCCCGCACCTCATCGCGAGGGGCGCGCTGGGGAG